GTCCTTCAACCCCATCCCCATGACCCCACAAGGTCCCCATGACCCAAGAAGGTCCCTCAACGCCATCTTCAAGACCCAACTGGGTCCTTCAACCCCATCTCCATGACCCCACCACGTCCCCATGACCCAACTCGGTCCTTCAACCCCATCTCCATGACCCCACCACGTCCCCATGACCCAACTCGGTCCTTCAACCCCATCTCCATGACCCCACCACGTCCCCATGACCCAACTCGGTCCTTCAACCCCATCTCCATGACCCCACCACGTCCCCATGACCCAACTCGGTCCTTCAACCCCATCTCCATGACCCCACCACGTCCCCATGACCCAACTCGGTCCTTCAACCCCATCTCCATGACCCCACCACGTCCCCATGACCCAACTCGGTCCTTCAACCCCATCTCCATGACCCCACCACGTCCCCATGACCCAACTCGGTCCTTCAACCCCATCTCCATGACCCCACCACGTCCCCATGACCCAACTCGGTCCTTCAACCCCATCTCCATGACCCCACCACGTCCCCATGACCCAACTCGGTCCTTCAACCCCATCTCCATGACCCCACCACGTCCCCATGACCCAACTCGGTCCTTCAACCCCATCTCCATGACCCCACCACGTCCCCATGACCCAACTCGGTCCTTCAACCCCATCTCCATGACCCCACCACGTCCCCATGACCCAACTCGGTCCTTCAACCCCATCTCCATGACCCCACCACGTCCCCATGACCCAACTCGGTCCTTCAACCCCATCTCCATGACCCCACCACGTCCCCATGACCCAACTCGGTCCTTCAACCCCATCTCCATGACCCCACCACGTCCCCATGACCCAACTCGGTCCTTCAACCCCATCTCCATGACCCCACCACGTCCCCATGACCCAACTCGGTCCTTCAACCCCATCTCCATGACCCCACCACGTCCCCATGACCCAACTCGGTCCTTCAACCCCATCTCCATGACCCCACCACGTCCCCATGACCCAACTCGGTCCTTCAACCCCATCTCCATGACCCCACCACGTCCCCATGACCCAACTCGGTCCTTCAACCCCATCTCCATGACCCCACCACGTCCCCATGACCCAACTCGGTCCTTCAACCCCATCTCCATGACCCCACCACGTCCCCATGACCCAACTCGGTCCTTCAACCCCATCTCCATGACCCCACCACGTCCCCATGACCCAACTCGGTCCTTCAACCCCATCTCCATGACCCCACCACGTCCCCATGACCCAACTCGGTCCTTCAACCCCATCTCCATGACCCCACCACGTCCCCATGACCCAACTCGGTCCTTCAACCCCATCTCCATGACCCCACCACGTCCCCATGACCCAACTCGGTCCTTCAACCCCATCTCCATGACCCCACCACGTCCCCATGACCCAACTCGGTCCTTCAACCCCATCTCCATGACCCCACCACGTCCCCATGACCCAACTCGGTCCTTCAACCCCATCTCCATGACCCCACCACGTCCCCATGACCCAACTCGGTCCTTCAACCCCATCTCCATGACCCCACCACGTCCCCATGACCCAACTCGGTCCTTCAACCCCATCTCCATGACCCCACCACGTCCCCATGACCCAACTCGGTCCTTCAACCCCATCTCCATGACCCCACCACGTCCCCATGACCCAACTCGGTCCTTCAACCCCATCTCCATGACCCCACCACGTCCCCATGACCCAACTCGGTCCTTCAACCCCATCTCCATGACCCCACCACGTCCCCATGACCCAACTCGGTCCTTCAACCCCATCTCCATGACCCCACCACGTCCCCATGACCCAACTCGGTCCTTCAACCCCATCTCCATGACCCCACCACGTCCCCATGACCCAACTCGGTCCTTCAACCCCATCTCCATGACCCCACCACGTCCCCATGACCCAACTCGGTCCTTCAACCCCATCTCCATGACCCCACCACGTCCCCATGACCCAACTCGGTCCTTCAACCCCATCTCCATGACCCAACTGGGTCTCCATGTCCCCCAGACCCATCTTCATTACCCAACTGGGTTCCTCAACCCCATCTCCATGACCCAACTGGGTTCCTCAACCCCATCCCCATGACCCAACTGGGTCTCCATGTCCCCCAAAACCCATCTCCAAGATCCAACTGGGTCCCTCAACCCCATCTCCATGACCCAACTGGGTCTCCATGTCCCCAAAACCCATCTCCAAGACCCAACTGGGTCCCTCAACCCCACATCCATGACCCCACCACGTTCCCATGACCCAACTGGGTCCTTCAACCCCATCTCAAAGACCCAACTGGGTCCCCATGTCCCCCAAGCCCAACTTCATGACCCAACTGGGTCCCTCAACTCCATCTCAAAGACCCAACCGTGTCCCTCAACCCCATCTTCATGACCCAACCATGTCCCTCAACCCCATCCCCATGACCCCACCATGTCCCCATCACCCAACTGGGTTCCTCAACCCCATCTCCATGACCCAACTGGGTCTCCATGTCCCCAAAACCCATCTCCAAGACCCAACCGTGTCCCTCAACCCCATCTTCAAGACCCAACTGGGTCCTTCAACCCCATCTCCATGACCCCACCACATCCCCATGACCCAACTGGGTCCTTCAACCCCATCTCCATGACCCAACTGGGTCTCCATGTCCCCCAAACCCATCTCCATGACCCCACCACGTCCCCATGACCCAACTGGGTCCTTCAACCCCATCTCCATGACCCAACTGGGTCTCCATGTCCCCCAAACCCATCTCCATGACCCCACCACGTCCCCATGACCCAACTGGGTCCCTCAACCCCATCTCCATGACCCAACCGTGTCCCCACGACCCCACCAAGCCCCCCGGGACCTCCCCAGCCCCACCCCTCACCTTGCCGAAGGGCTCGAAGATGCCGCGCAGCATCTCCTTGGTGATGTTGCAGTGGAGGGAGCCCACGTAGAGGCGCATGGGACCCCCGCTGCCCTTCTGCAGGTTGTTGGCCATGGCCGCCAGACGGTTCTTCTCCGCCTACAAGGGAACCTGGGGGTCAGGGAGGGGGGACACGGCCCCACAGAGACCCCTTTCTTCCTCCTGGGCCACCCTCAAACCTCTGGAGGTCACCGCAAATCCAGGGGGACCACAGCTCGGCTCGAGTCTGGTGGAACGATGGCCCACAAGAACCTCCCCAGACCCCCCAAGAACCTCCAAGACCCCATAAGAACCTCCTCAAACCCCCCAAGAACCCACCAAGCCCCCCAAGAACCTTCTCAAAACCCACAAAAACCACTTGAAACCCCACAAGAACCTCCTCAAACCACCCAAGAACCACTTGAAACCCCACAAGAACCTTCTCAAACACCAGAAGATCCCTCAAAACCCCTCCAAGAACTTCCCCAAGAACCTCCAAAGCCCCTAAGGACCTCCTCAAACCCCATAAGAACCTTCTAAAACCCCACAAGATCCCTCAAAACCCCAACAAGAACCTCCAAGAACCTTCTCAAACCACCCAAGAACCTCCTCAAACACCACAAGAACCTCCTAAACCCCCCCAAGAACCTCCAAGACACCCAAGAACCTCCTCAAACCCCTCAAGATCCCTCAAAACCCCAACAAGAACCTCCAAGAACCTCCTCAAACCTCCCCAAACCTCCCCAAGAACCTCCAAGACCCCCAAGAACCTCCTCAAACCCCCCAAGATCCCTCAAAACCCCAACAAGAACCTCCAAGAACCTCCCCAAGAACCTCCCTGGACCTTCCCGTCCCCTTGCAGACCCCTCAACCCCCCCAAGATCCTCCTCAAACCCCCCAAGAACCTCCTCAAACCCCATAAGAACCTTCTCAAACCCCACAAGATCCCTCAAAACCCTTCCAAGGACCTCCTTAAACCTCCCCAAGAACCTCCAAGGG